TGTGTGTGTGTATATATATATATTTTAAAGTCACTTTGTGGACTCTCTGGGCTTAGACTTCTCCAAAGTGTATTTGTGGTCAAGATTCATTTGTTCTCAGGAAATAATCAGACCCTCAGTCTTCACTTTTCCTATACTGTCTGTGCTCAACTTTTCTATAGGTTTTGAAGTGCTAGAAATAGCTATGATGATGTAAAGTATCCCTGGTGCTCAAACAGCCTAAGTTCCTGGATCCAGAAGAGGGTCCAAGTTCTGGCTGGCTGATGACAGACACTCATCCTATATTGCTAACTCAAACTCCCCAGGCTCAGAGGGCTTACAGCTTTCTCATCTTTTCTGGTAATTGATATTGTTCAGTACCATTGATGCAATTCTCTCCTAGTCGCTTATAGTGACTTTATGAACAACAGATCAAAACTCTGCCCTGTCTTGTGCTATCTTCACCACCTCCACCATGTTCAAACACGTTGTGACAGCCATTATGTAAAGCCATCTCTTTGAAGGTCTTCAGCTCTTTTGCTTACTGTCCCCAGCATGTTGCCTTTTCCCAAGAACTTGTCCTTCCTGACAACATGCTCCAAAATAAGCAAAGTTTTATTATCCTTGCCTCCAAGGAATGTCTTATTTGCATTTCTTCCAAGGCAGATTGGTTTTTTCTTTTTTACATTGATGGGTTATACGATACTCTTCACCAATACCTCAATTCAAAGACATCAATTCTTCTTCAGATTGTTGTTCTTTGTTATGTGTTGTCGAGTCGAATATGACTCATAGCCACCCTGTGAACAACAGATCTGAACTCTGTCCTATTTTTTGCCATTGTCATCTTCTCTGATTTACTTGAGATTGTGTCAATCAACTCATAGAAGGTTTTCCTTTCCAAGCATGGTGTCCCTTTTCAAGAAATAGCCTCAGGCCCAAAGTATGTGAGATGAAACTTCACCATACTTTCCTCCAAGGAGTACTCTGGCTGCACTTTCTCCAAATCAGAGCTAATTGTTCTTTTGCCAGTCCATGGGATATTCAGCACTCTACTCCAATAACACAACACAAAGGCATGGAGTCTTCCTCTATCATCCTTAGTCAAAGTCCAGCTTTCAGATGTGTAACAAGTGATTGAAAAGCCTGAATTAGGAGCATCTTAGTTTTTCAACGGACATCATTGCTCCTCAGTCCTTTATAGAGGTCCCTGTTAGTAGACTTTCTATTGCACAATGTCTTTTGAGTTCTTGATGGCTGGTGCCAAGGGTGTTGTTTGAGGATCCCAGTGAGATAAGATTGTTGACAATTTCAATCTTTTCTTCATCTTCATGGAGAACCCTAAAATTAGTATCTGTTTATATAACATGTAAATGCTTATTGGAATTAAAAATTATTAAAATAGAGGAGAAAAGGGATAGACATCAGACAGACCTTTTGTCAGAATATACTCCTTTGAGTTGGGCTCAGAAATGTTGCAGTTAAGAAGTGTTTGCCATTGACTGAGCTTCTGACATCTAATTGCCTACTCCCAAGACATTGACCAACTGCGTGTTTTCCTCTTTCCAGGAATTCAAAGATGCCACAAAGATAGGTTTTTAGAATTCCAGGAAAGTTTACAAATATGAGGTTTCAAGTTACTTGGAAAGGGGGGTATATTTTAATAATAAGTTGTTGTTGTTGTTGTTGATTGCCTTTGAATCGATCACGACTCATAGTGACTCTATGAACAAAAGGCCTGAAGCCCCTCTACAACTATCAACATTTATCACCGGTTATTTTTTTAGGAAGTGAATGACACTCCTGTTTCTAAACCTGTCATAGTATGTAATTGTTGTTGTGTGCTGTTGAGTTGCCTGTGATGTATAGCGATCCTATGTAAGCAGCTCTGAACTCTGCCCTGTCCTGAGTCAGTCTCACTAATAGTCCCTGTTACTGTATCAATCCATTTCATCCGGAGTCTCCCTCTCCTGCGCTGTCCATCCAGCTTTCCGAGCATGATGTCCTTCTCCAAGAACCGATGTCTCCTGTCCTTGTGCC